GAAGAACAACCCAAGTAATGTGATGAGAGAGTGTTCCTCGAGCTGTAACATCCTCTAATCAAAAGATGTGAAATAAATAGGAACCCAGTGAAAATGTTATTGTAGGATCTTGAGGGAATCATTCAGGTTACTCCCTATTTTGTTCCTATTGGATATTTGAATTGCTTATTGTTTCTTAATTATACATTTAATTTCTCGGGTTTAGAAAGGTTATTTCTTTTTCTTTTTTTTTTAAAAGATTTATTTATATATACAGAACTGGGTTACAGGCCAGAGGCTCAGGGGTGGCAAGAGGCTTCACCAGAGACAGAGTGGGGAGCAGAACAGGCAGATGGATGAAGTACACTGCTGAGGGGAGCAGTGGGCGGGTCAGGAGAGGTCTGCTGTACCATGTGGTCACCTCCGGGGCAGGCGGGAATCGAACTCATGCTGAAGTGGCTTTAGCTTCTCCATGCTGTGCAGTGCTTTAACCCGCTGCACCACCAGGGAGGGCCCTCATTTTCTTTTTTTAAGATTTATTTAATTATGCATACAGAATGGGGGTACAGGCCAAAGGTGGAGGGGCAGTGAGAGAATCCACCAGAGATGGAGTAGGGAGCAGAACAGGCAGATTGGTGAAGTACACTGCTGAGGGGAGTAGCCGGTGGGTCAGGGGAGTTCTGCCACACCATGTGGGTTACCCCCCTGGCCAGTAATCAAATTGGTGCAGGCTAGCCTCGCAGTGCTGTGTTTTAACTCAGTAAGCCATCAGGGAGGGCCTGGAAATGTTATTTCTTAACTATAGACATTTTATGCATTGATCCATCCAGATGGTAAAGTTTGAGATTCATATCAGTAATGGTAAACCACAAAAATGATATCTGCTGTATGTGATCCAAGCAGGACTCTGATGAATTACACTGACCTTGCAATACTTTGTGGTGCTCCCAAAGCAAGAGCACTAAAATCCAGGATGATGGGATCCAGACCACAGCACTACATGTATCCCTAAAATTTCTAGAATCCTTTGGTGAGCTATAGCTCCTTTCTACCCCTTCTTCCTTTTTTTCTCTTTCAAAAGCAGTGACTTTGCCATTCCTTATTCATTATCATAGCCACGGCCATTTACTGTAACTTAATGGCTTAACTTAGTCTTTTACTTCAATTAAATGTGATTACCTTTAAATCTGCTAATACTAGGCCCTACCTTCAAGACAAGATGAGAAGAGGTGTGAAACTATTTCCCTAAATCATGTACAGTGTCGTAAACCAGTATCACCTTAATAAAGAAAAACAAATGAATTAACTGATTTTTTTAACTGATTTTTTTTTTATTTATTTGTACATACAGAACTGGGGTACAGGCCAGAGGCTCAGGGGTGGCGAGAGGCTTCACCAGAGACAGAGTGGGGAGCAGAACAGGCAGATCGATGAAGTACACTGCTGAGTGGAGTAGTGGGGGGTCAGGAGAGGTCTGCCACGCCATGTGGTCACCTCCGGGGGAGGCAGGAATCGAACTCAAGCGGAAGTGGCTTTAGCTTCTTAGTGCTGTGCTTTAACCCGCTGCACCACCAGGGAGGGTCAAATTAACTGATTTTTTAAAAGGCAATATGTACCCTTTTTTTTTTTTTTTTGATGGAAATAGAATCAAATTAAACAGAGAAATAAGCATATATGCTTACATATGACTACAAATTCAATTGTTGTGGATGCAGAGGGCTGGACAAATTGATTTCAATCAGGAGAAATCATAGAAGTTTTCCCAGAGTGGTGACGTTGGAACTGAGCCTTAATGATGTCAAGAATGTCCAATAGAAATGAAGATGAAAAGAAGCCTGAATTAAGAATGTGGAAATTGGCTTTAGACTAAGAGTTGACATTAACTATGAAAAGTATCAGGACTGAAAGAAAGAATGAAGATGAACTGATGTTTACAACAGAAGCCTATTGTTATAAATTATCATAAGTGTTCGGCCAATACATTCTGGCAGTAATAGAATCATGCCTTCCCAGACGGCTGGTATCCTGAGTGACCCCTATAGTAATGGGGGATGGTTGAACATATCTGGAAGGATTATATTAATATGGATGTATTATGGGGTGCAGTTAGGGATAGGACTGAAATTGGCCTGAGAGATATGAGCAAGTCTATGCCCTACCAATTCAATGCAAATACCTTGGATTTGCATTACCTGGAATGGGCAAAGCCCACGTAGTAAATGTACTCCCAATCCTTGATTTAGTGACCCTAGAACAGCTATCTGGAAAGAAGTCTGGTAAAACAAGAAGTAGCAAGACCAAAGGGATTTTAAAGTTTATGTAAACCCCAAAGAATCCAACATGCTCCAGTTCGTGGTATCTGAAAAAGAAATGTAAGAGCAGGTTGTTGTAGGCAAGGAAAAACTTTCTCTGGTATTTGGGGTTATTCTTCAGGGGGTAGAGAATAGGAAACAGAAAAAAGGAGGTACCATACTCAGGTTTCTGAGGGTAACTCTGGCAAGGGTCATAATATAAAGGAAAAAACTGGAGGCCCCCGTCAGTATGGTAGTTGTCCAAGAAGAGAAGATGTAGACCTTTCTGTGGACAGAGATGCTGACGTTAGAGGGCACTGTGAGGCAGACAGGTGGAAAAGCAGTAGTGTGTGCCCAAGGGTCTGCTGTGTCTCCTGGGACCTGACTATCAATCAGAGACAGCCATCCTCTGAGAAACTGAGTTGACAAAAATCTTGGCATTTAGCATAAGAGCTTCTCAAAGATTTCCTTTCACTGTCCACATGCTTATAACATCTCCCCACCCCTCTATCAATTAGATTTCATAAGAAACTAAACATTTAAAGATAGTGAGTCACCTGCCAAATATATGTGTGCTCCACTATTGCCAGAACTGGGTCTGGAGACCAAGGAATATTCCAAAGGCATAGAAAACAAAAGCTTTACCTTTCTGCTTCTAAATAAGCATTAAATGGAAATGCAATTTTTTTTTTCCAGGCAAACAAATTTTTTTTAAAGTACTTGTTAAAAAAATTTTTTTTAAGATTTATTTATTAGTGCACACAAAACTGGGGTATAGGCTAGAAGTGCGGGGTCAGTGAGAGTCTTCACCAGAGACAAAGTGGGGAACAGAACAGGCAGATCAATGAAGTACACTGCTGAGGGGAGCAGCGGACGGCTCAGGAGAGGTCTTCCACACCATGTGGGTCACCTCTTGGGTGGGGATCAACTCGCACTGAAGCAGAGGCAGCTAGCTTACAGTGCTGCGTCCTAACCCATCACGCAACCAAGGAGGGCCATTTTAAAGTACTTTTAATGACTGTTGAATCTTTAAAATGTGGCTATTTTTGTTGAATTCATTTGGCCTAAGACCATTTAAATATACTAGCAGTTGTGTGGTAATCATCAAGATAGAATGAAATTTATTGCATTCAGTGATGCATCTGTAAGGAAACAGAGTATTTGCTCTGACTATGCGTTATTTCCTACTTTTCACATCAGGCCAATCCGTCAACCTGCCAACCAATCATTCAGGATATCCCTTTCTTCTCCTTATTACTCTTCTGACCTTTTTTTACTCTCTAAGATCCAGCATTCTTCCTGACACCCCTGCCCAGCACATGTCCCAAACATCCACAGACAGAAAGCCTTCCAGAACACCTTGCTCACACCAAACCAACATATGCTGCTGTTGTAGTTAGACTGGTGGTGAGTCCAGGAGGTCAGGCCCGTGATGTTTCCTTTCTTTATATTGTCAATGTCAGGAAGTACTACTTGATTATAGAAGGGCCACAGTAAAAGTTAAGTAAATAAAAAGAGACAAATTAGTGTTTACCAGGAGGAAAAGGAGAAGGATAAATCTGGTAAAAGGGACTGGTGGTGAGGGCAAAAGGTGGAATTAGACTTTTAGTAGTGAACTTAATGAAGTATATGCAGATGTAACTTAATGTATTGTAAGTTGATTTACAATGATGCATACCAGAAATCTATGTAATACTTTAATTAGAAGTACAGTGCTAGAAAAGATGTGACATTTCAAGTAAAAACATTCCATATTTTTAAGAATTATTTCTATATAGAGAGAGGACAGAGTTTTACAGTATTTGTATAGCTCTGTAGAAAAAAATCATGTCATTCTGAACATCGACCTGTGTATGTTAGTTCATACATAAGACCAATTCCTTAGTGGAAATGTGCAAAATCTGTTTTAGTAAGGGGTGTTTCCATCTACAAGCAGCTATGGGAGCTCTGTCTTTCTGTAAAGCAAAGCAAGTATTTTTGAAATGACAATTGCTGAGGTACCAAGTATGGGGAGAAGATGAAGGATTTGGTAGTTCAAACTCAACTGTTGGGTGAATCCAAGGACTATCTAGCTGTGATTGCAAATCTAAATGATCCTGTGTTCTCTATAAAAGAAACTAATAGTTTAATCTAGAATCACAAAGCTATGTTCAAAGTGTCCCACCATTCTAAGTGGAACCTAATTCTTGTTAGCTGGATTTTTTTCTTCCTACTGTGAAGAACAAAAAAATATATTATGCAAAATCTCTAGTATGCAATATCAGACTTTTATGCCTGCTTTATAGAATTGTGTTCAATTTCAGTATTTGCCCAACTGAATAATAACATTTACTGAATAGCTAATGATAATCCTGCCAAAACTCACGTTTATGCTTAGTTACATGTTACTGCACAACTGACATTTCGAAAATGCAGGGATTTAATAGGGCTGATAGACAAATAAAACAAAGTTCTGAAAGGTATACAAGGATTTAGTATTAGGTTGTAAAATCAATATAAACATCATCTGACTGGTGTTGGTATCAACTTTATACATACTACCACACGGAAACCTATATTGTGTGTATATACAGAAAAGTCATGAAGTATCTGTAATAAAATGGGTTAATCTAGGAATAGATCATGGATGTATTAATCAGCTAATATGTTTTAATGTCTCTCCAATATGTTTTAGTCATTGTTAGGGACATATAGTGTTTGTATTTTAATATTCTCTTTGTTTTTAATTAGGTTGTTTGGTATCAAATCAGTAATTCGAACAGACTGTTCCAGCACTTGGAAGATCGTAGCAAACCCAGACCTGTCGTGGTATCACCACGCCAACCCCATCCTTCTTCTGGTGATGTACTACACACTGGCCACACTGATTCGCATCTGGCTGCAGGAGCCCCTGGTAAGGATTAAACTGGTCTTACCTGCCAGTAACCTGAAACCCCCCTGCAGGACGAATGGCACATTGCTAATAAGCACTCACCCGTCAATACCATACTCCAAAATAACCACAGCAGCTTATAGTGTTTTGATTCTGCAAAAAAAGTAGTAAGCGGATACAATTACCAACACAGCAAAGACAGTTTTTCTTTTCACACACTCTAAGAACAGGAGGAGGTAAGAAGGTGTGAGACTCAGTTTACAAAGTGCTGGGTCCTAAGCTCAACTCTTCACATATATTATCTTATTCAATCCATTAAAAAAAACTCAGAATTGGGCCCTCCCTGGTGGCGCAGCGGGTTAAAGCACTGCACTAAGAAGCCAAAGCCACTTCCGCATGAGTTCAATCCCCGCCTGCCCTGGAGGAGATCCACATGGCGTGGCAGACCTCTCCTGACCCGCCCGCTGCTCCCCTCAGC